CAGTCAGTTCTTGCTGGGACCGCAGCAGGTCTCTTTTCTTCCTTCTTTATATGGAACTTGTACAAAAGTGATTTTTTCCACCCTCCAGTCCCCTCGCCCTGGAGCTTCGGATGATACTTAAATCTAAAAATTAACCTTGCAAATTTTTTTCTTAACGTTTTTTCTCGCTGTCCCTCCCCTCCCAGCTTTGGCTCTCCCTTAGCAGCTTCCACTGCAGAAAACTCGAGAGCTGAACGGCACCAGAATCAGTATGCAAACCCAAGCCGTCCGCAACACAAGGAGACTCAGTGAGAGAGTGAGCCGGAGCCACGAGCAGGGGAGGGAGAGTACGCCAGCCTAGAGGAAGGCGGGGCGCGTTGCTAGGATGCTACAAAGGGTCCCTCCGTTGCTTGGACACCAAAGAAGGCCATTGGCCCCACCCCCTAAGATGGGCCCCAGGTGGTCCGGGTGATTTCCAGAGCTCCAGACGGCGAGGTTGGGAAGCAACTTAATGTTTTTTAACTTTGTTTTTTCTTTCTCCTCTTACTCCGGGCAGCGAAGAGATTTGGTCACTTTTGTAATCACTCTGTACAAATCTGGGCACACTCTTCGCCCCTAGGGATGGACATAGGAATTTTCGGATCTGTATGAGGGTTTGAGTTTAAGCTGGAATTTGTCCGGTGTGGCTTTTCCTGGGCTCCTCTCCTAGGAAATGGAGGGCCGGAGGGCTGGGAAGGGGGTTGACTTTTTAAAAATTACTGTAATTTTTTTCTCCTTTCTAATACACTTTAGAAATCTCATCCTGCTAAACGGTTTTCATTCACTTCCCTCTGCTGATAATGGATTATCGCAAAGTGAACACACATGTAAACCCCACCCAGATCAAGAATTAGAACTCTACCAGTACCACAGAAATGCACATCATTCCCCCTCCAGGCATTATGCCAAAAAAATACTAAAAATTTGTTTTGCCTGTATTTGAACTTTTGGAATCATATATGTATTCTTTTGTGTGTGACTCTGTCACTCAACATCATGGTTTTAAGATTCCTCCATGGTTTCTGTACTAGCGATTTGTTCATTTTCACCGTCACATATTATTCCTTTGTATGACTATGGCACAATTTATTTATCCATTTCATTACTGAGAGTACATTGGAGTTGTTTCCATTTGGGGCTATTAGGAATAATGTTGCTGCAAACATTCTTGAACAAAACGTTTGATGCACATATGTACTCATTTCTGATGTGTATATAACTCAAAGTAGATTTTAGCAGATAATGCCAAAAGTGGTTGGCAGATTTCCAAAGTGATGAGTTGTCACAATGATGGTGGGAGGGAGGATCATCTGTCACTTAGTTGGACAGAAATCAGGATGCTCAATGTCCTGCAATGTACAGAACAGTTCTACGCAGTGAAGACTGTTCTACATTCTGTTCCATTTATAAACATCTCATCAGACTTTCTTGTGAGCTTCTTGTGAGCCTAGAAAAAAATCTACTTTATGTATAAATATAAAGAATTTTTTGCTCAAATTCAATATCACTTAACTCCCCAAGAATTCAAGTCCAAGTAAATTGGGGGAAGATTATGCTTTTTTTTTTTTTCCCAGGATTTAAGAATTCTTCTTCACTACTTAGGAACACTTATCATCACTATCAGTGAGCTGTTGGTAACTGAGTAGTCAACACATCTGACCCAGGCTGCATTTGTAGCCGTTACATTCATTGTGATTCTTCCTATAGGTATACGCATGTAGTTACTTCATTTCTCTTTCAGTATAGTCATATCTGTACATATACATGTTAAAATAGGTATTATTTTACTGACCTTTAATTTATCTATTATATTATGACTTTAGACTTATGACTTTAAATTCATTTTTAAATATTAGGGTAGATAAACTAGATTATCCATAAACCTCATTTCAGGATAATAACAAAACATTACAAAATATGTGTTATTAAAAAAAAAACATTGTGTCTAATAGGACTGAGAACCTGTTTGCTAAAACATGGCAAGGTCTACGACTCAGCCTCTTTCTGTCTTGTCTACTAAGCGGTCAGAACTAAGTTTGGGGCCTTTCTTAAGCTAGTTTCTTGGAAAAATAATTTCCTCCCACTCTCCCTTTAACTGCCTGCCTTTGTCCTCTGGTCTATTGATGATGCTTTGAAGCACCTGTTCTTGCAGAGAAGGCTGTCTTAAATCCTTTAGGCAGAGAGTCAGTAGGCAGAGAATATTGCTGAATGGATCAGCAACAAGCAATGGGCAAACTCTTTTGTGACACTGTCTTAACAACTGCCGAGCCAGCTAATTTTTAGTGGCAATATCGGCATTATTGTTCTATCTTAAGATAATCATGGAATTATAAAAACAAATTAGTTTCTTAGAATAATAGATGAGATTTTGAGTTAAACATTGTGATGACACTTTTAGTCTCTAGAAAAACTGTCTTCAGTTTCAGAAGATGGTTATGAATGACCGTTATTAGTGAAATATAGATGGCCAAAGGAGGATATACAAATAATAAAGACAAAGACCTTTCTTTCA